TTTGGGAAAGTTTATGCAAGCGATTGTAGCTAGTAAAGTGCATTGTAATTGAATTGTTAATTATTGAGAAAATAAAGGACATTAGATTAATTCTTTATAACAAAAGAAACTACAAATTAAGTTGGCGAAGGATTTAGAAAATAATCGAGGTTGATTTAGTAAAATCGTAACAATAAGAATGAAATAGTGAAATAGAAAAAATTACGTAATATGATCATTGTTGCAAGTCGCAAAAAAAAACATTCAAATAAACATGCAAACTCAACTTAAACACGGTGCAAAAAGTATGCTTGAAGCTAGTTTGTGCTATGAGTAGAAGCGGTCTATAAAACTCAGAATTTCCAAAAAATTGTCAAAAGCGATGTGTTTTTGAGGCCTATAAACACGTCCTATAAGTATTTTTGTATAATTAGTTTTTATTTCGACAAAGATGTATTCAATTTGACAAGAAGGTTCTTATGTACATTTAATTCTACAGGACAAAAAAAATTTGACAAACACAGCTACGCCATCATGTCCAGGTCTATCTAAACAAAACAGTTTATATCCGTCAACACAAAATAAAAAAATTTGTCGCTATGCCACGCAGAGAACCAAGACTCTAAAGCACGTACAACATCAATATCAGAGGATTCAAAACGGTATCTGAATTCATCAATTTTATTAGGAGGAACGAAAATGTCTGTTAAGGGTCAAAACCTCGAAAATTCCAAAGACATTGCAACCCAATAAAAAACAAACCCCTACATAAAATACCTAAGCTGCAGCACATAAAGAAATAATAGACCAAAAGAAAAAATGAAAATAACTTCAAGAAATAATTGACTAACCTAGCTAACTAAATGTTTTAAAAGAGAGAAAAGGAGAATAAATTAATATTAGATTTAATTCTAAACTTAACATAGTGTTGACAGAACAGAATCGACGTCACATATTTTTTGTTGTACTTCTAAGAGCATTCACTTTAGCGATAGAACATAGTAGCTGGGGATCTTTATTTGGTTTTCACCTGACATACATTTTGCCCCTGATAGAGTAAGCAGAAATTAGTTGCTTTTTTTTCGGAGCTCAGAGGCATTCGACATAACTTCACACAACACTGTCAGCTAACTCTCATGAACATATAATTTTCCATTACCAGGCTGGTCAACGTGAGAGAGTAAGAGGAATTTATTGCGGGCCTTACACAAAGAAGCAATTGATTTGAAAAGCTGTGCGCGGTCACGCGAAGAGAACAGCTCAACAATGTTAGCACATGATTGTTGTTATTTCCCATTTCATCTTTTACACTCTATCTTTCGCACTTCGCAGCCTGAATGCATATCACGCAGTGGTGATGTTTTGTGATTCACATCACTGCACAGCTTATCAAGCATATTTCGCATGTTCTCGCCAGTAGATTCAGGGATGCTGTTGATGATTATGTCGAGTGACTGCATTACTCTCTCTTCAGAGTTCTATGTCACATTGATCAGCTCTTCAATGATGGAAATTTTCTGCTCATTAAGTTTTGTTACAGCAGATGTGGAGCTTTGCGGCGTTTTTGGAGATGATGACACTTTACGTTGTACATTTTTCCTAGTTATTGGCATCATGGAAAGGCAGTGAAAGTATTAATTAAAAAGTATCGAAATATTCGTGAAAAACTCGGGAGCGCAACAAAATACGTGCTACCCGCACAAAGACTTGACGGTATATTCCTTATCTAATATTCTGGCGTCCAACGTAGGGCCTGTGTTTTCGTTGCTACGGCTGTTGTTGCTCACATTTTTAATGCTAGGCGTTCACACATGTATGACCTTTACTTCGTTCCCAGCCCCTCCGCTCGTTGCTGCAATAGTTTCACTCGCAACTCGCACTCTATTGCTCCCTAGGAAGAAAATCTCTCGTATAAAAAACATTGTTGAAGGTAGTCTACGATTAGGTGGTAGGGAACTTTTTTTAGGTTAAGTTAGGCTCGATTGCCAGTGGGTCTGACATAAGAAATATATCCATAGCGTTGCCAGGCGACCAAGCTATTCTGCTACTTTTCTATAGTTCTGGAACAAAGTTTTGAACATTACCTTCGAGGTTCTGCAGCCCTTAACTCGTTTCCAAAATCTTTTCACATGATGGAACTGGGAGGTTGGATGCCATGTCCTGTTTTAAATAGGCAAACCTCTTTAGTAAGTTCGTCAGCTTATCTCATTACCTTCAATGCCCATGTGGCATCCAGTAAATATACCATATTCTGTTTTCAGCTAGTAATTGAATATTTTCTTCACATAATGCGATCACAGTTGACTTCGTGCTGTATTGTAAGTAAGTAAGGTCTTTATGGCTGCTTGACTATTCACATACAAATATATTCTTTTCGTTTGAAACCCGCACATTTCAATAGCTCTGCCATTTTTATGGCGAAAATTTCAGCTTGGAAGATAATGCAATGACTTGTCAGCTTATATGTTTTTCTTATCTCTAGTAAGGCGCAGTAAACTAAAGTCCCCACTCCTTTGTTCATTTTAGAACCATCTGTGAAGACGTGAAGGGCTTCGTCTGCCTGTTTCAGACCTTTATTTCAGCCATTTATCTCTATTAAGCCATAAACAGCTTTCTTGAATTCAGGCACGGGATTACGTAGTCTATTCGTACACTCAGACTACTGTAGGTTCTGAGGAAGCATAAAGTCTCGCAGAAGGTAAGAATGCTCTGTTTTTAGGTATGCTGCGGACTATCCAAATTTTTTTCTGAGTGCTGAAATAGCGTAGTTGTTAATGGTTCTATGGCTAAGGTACCATCCGAATAGGCTGTTAGCATGATAGCACCTCCATCTTCTTGAGCAAATCATTAACAGAAAGAGCCCAGGATAGAAGTGAGAACACTCCACCATGCGGAGTTCCCCTACACACATCCGTCGTCAACAATTCCAATCCCCATTGCCCGTGGATCTTTCTGCAGCTTAGAGATACGTATATCCAACCCTTAAATACAGGAATGACTTTTATCGCCTCTAACCTACTATTAAAGCATGTTTAAAAACGTTATTGAACGCTCGAGATATGTCGAAAAAGATGCCTCAGTATCCAATTACCACTTGGCATTCGTAATCATATTTAAAACTTATTATCTGCACAAACGGAAATCGAGAGGCTGGATTTGACAACGGCTAAATCAATAATTGAGTTGTTAGATTTGTTCTGAATACGTTTGGGATATTTCCTAAGCGGATAAAATTTATGACAGTCATGGCAATGTTGCTATATCATCAGTTTTTAGTTGGGAAGTTATCAATACGTCGATGTCGCTTTTATTGTTTTATATTGAAGATGTTCAGCCGCGGAGCAGCAGTTGCGACAGAAACCATGCATAGCAACACTTTATCAGAAACTTGAAAAGGCCAAAAGAAAGTGTACACCTTTTTTTTTTTAAATCAATTATAATTTATGAATGATTAAATATTGTTTTTACAATAAATTAAAAACAAACCAAATATGACTTCACTAGAAAAAAAAACAACACAAAGAAAACCATATATACTCAGTATTTTTCGCGCCAAAACAAATTGCACAGTTTGACAATAATTAAGAAACTCATAAGCTAATAATTTATCTGTCTTCCATTTGCACTGATAACTGCCTCCAACCTCTTTGTCATTGAATCCATTAAGTTGAACTCTACTTTTTTCTTAATTTGCCGGTCCAAATGCTCCCAACATGCTCACTGAGGTTGAGGTCCGGCGATTGTGAGGGGTGATCCAGTTGCTTATATGTACGGTAAAGCAACCATTTCTCTACTACTCTTGCCGTATGCTTAGGACATTTCTCCGATAATTTGACGGCACTCACAGATCAATCTATTTTCGCAGCTCCCACAACTGACTGTATTTCAGTTTTATTAAGCCGATTGGTCTATCCGAACGTGGATGATCTTCTATTTAACCAAACTTTTTTTGCTAATCAATGATTTTTTTTATTGCACTATAGTTTCTTACAATTATTGAAGCAATTTCGCGTAGAGATTTTCCTTCCTTCTTAAAATTTACCACTTTTTTTCTTATATCAGGTAAAGTTTTCTCACCCAATGTCAAATTGATATGCTGTCCGCTAATTTTCAAACTCAAATAATTTCCTATCGGCGCAGGGATGTTAAATAACATTAAAATGAGTAGTTGCAATGAAAAAACTATTCATAACGCTATTTTTTCTGCGTAAAATGATAATGCAAAGCCTACTACCGAATTTTACACTTTTTTTACGCAGAAACTATGGAGTATATTTTGTTTGTGTTGCTTTTGTTCTTGTAGAGTTTTCTTTGGATTGTTTTTAATTTCATATAAGAACAATGTTGAATCGATTGTAAATGATAATTGATTTAAAAATTTTTAATTTTTTTATACCGAAATTAAGAGTGAAATGTTTGAGAAAAGGGTGTACATATTCTTTTGACGCTGACTGTACCTTTCCTTCAACTAAACAGACTCGTTGAACTGTGCTTTAGCTCGTTTTTGACTGTCAACAATATATGTACAGGATTCATGCGCGTATATGCAAGCCTAGGTCATTTGCGAAGGTTGGTCAGATGAAATTTAATCAAAGGCTGGTAGCTTTTAGGTTTATGCTGCATTATCCAGTGGTAGGACGAAAGTTAGGTGTTGTATATGATGGGTCTTTTAAGGATGCAAACGGGGTATCACTTAAAGCTGCACACTGGAGCAAATACGTAAAGAAACTTTATAGCTTTATATTTTCTTTTTCGATGTTTTCTCAGCTGACATAATTAAAATGATTCGCCAAATTTTGGTGGCTTAAACTCAACGAAACTACCAACGCATTTGTAATTTTTAAATGTGCATGATTTCTATGTTGACGTCGTGTTCTCGGGTGCTGATACAGAGAAAAGATAAGTGAAGAACTCTGTGGCCTTAATGATAAGCCCCGGTCGCCACGCCTATTGGAAACGTCGATGATATGCAAGGGTTTTATTACACATGTGTCAATTGTTACTGCAAAAGCAGATTACTATTAATGCCTGGTGTGATTCAACAATTTTACTGGTGTGGATTTCTCAATCACCATCGTATCAAGACCTTTTTGCAAATAGAATTTCGGGAATTCTGGATATCCTTCCTCGTAGTTTTTCGAACCACGTTCCGTCGTAGGAAACCCTGCAGATTGTTCCAGTCGAGACATGCTTGTATCTGCACTTTCGAATTTCGTATATCGGTAGAATGGTTCCTGTTGGCTATTTAGCGACGTCAACTTTCGAAATGTGGTGAACAGAATAACCGAAGAATTTAAGATGAAACCTGTAAGTGTGGTCATAGGCACGGTTTAATATGCAGCGAGATAGAAAATACGAGGCGTACTCTTTTAAAATAAGCTCAAGTTTACTGCCGAGAAGATCGTGCGCTTTTGGAAAAGCGATGATAGATAAAGATGCAATTTATGCAATAATCATTTCAATGGATCATATATTATATAATTCTGCAGTATGAACACATTAATAGCTTGCCAGCAGGGGTGTCTGCGGTCTTCGTAATTTTAGGTCGGAAATGTTGTATTCTTGGCGCTAGAAACTTGCCCGGTAGTTTCACATTCAAGTGAATGAAAAGCATACGATAACGCCAAGTTCGTACACGGCAAATGTTGACTGACCTTCCTGCAGTTCGCTTTCGCAAAGCATACCCATTTGAAAACTGCGATTCGTTTGCTTGACAAGACCACCAATTCACTTGAAACTTGTAAACTGATTTCAGCGCCGAGTGCTTTATAGCAGCATTAAGGCGATCAGTTAAACTCCACTTACGACGAGTAATTGGAAACCATGTACTAACCTTTGAGCAAATACGTACCTTACTGGCTCAAGTCGAGGCTGTTGTCAATTCAAGACCACTTTGCGCAGCTGCGGACACGGATACTAACTACTTATCTCCTCCTTTTTTTTCTTGTAGGGCGCCCTTACAATATGATAACGGAAGGTAGGTTAACTGAAAAAGAATCGAATAAGCTAAATTACTAGCAACACGTTAAGAACATGATGCACGACTTCTGGAAACGATGGCACCGCAAGAAAGTCCGAAATGGATGACTCCTTTGTTTTTAATGGCACTAAAATTTTATTTAATATACAGAACAATTAAGGGTGATAAATTAAAAGTGGAAAATCTTTTTTTTTCGAGACACTTGTTTGCTTGTTTAGAATTGTTAAAAATATCTCCGCAGTAGATTTGTCCAATTGGTTGATATAATCGACTTTTTTGAACTTAGAATTTAATATTAATTATAATTACTCTGATTACTGCCTGAATTAGTTTGGACATGGACTCGACCACCTTCCGGCAGAAATCTCAGCTATTGTTTTACATGTCATTTTGAGTCTTCTGCCACAAATCGTTAAGATTCTGACATCCAACTGGTGAATCAGAAATCGCTGGCTTGACTTCAACCTAAGCATGTTCGATTGGTTAAATTTGGATTGGTGATTGTGGGCCAGTCGAGTACTTTAAAGCTGTTGTATTGAAACCAAGCTTTGGCAACACTTGAAGTCATTATTTTGCTAGAAGATGACGTCCGACACATTCTTGGTCGGTGCCGTTCAAAATTGGCTTTCGCCCAGACTTGACTTTTTTTGCATAAAGCACACCCACAGAAACACCAAAGAGTCTTGGAACTTCTTTATGTTTTGTGTATAAATCAATAAGGCCTTAGATTTCTTCAGTTTTTATGCATTTAGCCTTTTCATCTATTCTGATGCCAAATCAAAAAATATAACATAGAAAAATAAAGGGTGAATTTTTTTTAGCTATTATCTTTTTGGCAACAGCTGACGCAAGTTTCGTGTTTTGTATCACTGTCAAAGATCTTCAGTTTGGTCTACAATATAACCTTGAATCGTCTTGCAAACGAACAAAGCTTGCAAATTGTTGAATCTTATTATAAAAATGCGTGCTCTGTTGATAAAGTTCATCATGCGCTTCTTCCATTTTATGGTCAGTTTAATCGATCCACTGAAGCGACTATTCGGGCTATTTTGACTAATTTCGCACCAATTTTATATTGTGGGACATTAAAAATCCAACATGCTCACGTAGAGTACGAACTGAAGAAAATATCGCAGCTGTATCTGACAGTGTTAATGATGACCATCAATTATCGCCTCTGTTACTCAACACCGAGAAAAATTTTAAGTAAGTATTTAAGTGTAAAGCCTTTCAAAATACAGGTGGTGCTGGAACCGTTTTGGTAAATGGAAAACTGTGTTCAGCGACGAAGCTTATTTTCGGCTTAATGGGTGCCAAAATAAGCACAATTGTCGATTCTGGAATGAAGATTAACCAGAAGCATTGCAAAAGCTAGCAATGCATCCAGACAGTTTTAAACGGTTTATGGGTTGGTGGCATCATTGCACCGTACTTCTTCGAAGATGATGCGAATCGTAACGTAACTATGAATGGTGAGCGCTACCGTGAGATGACATCAAACTATTTTTTGCCCAAAATGGAAGAGCTTGACTTGCATGACATGTGGTTTCAGCAAGACGGTGCCACATGCCACAAAGCGCGCGTAACAATGGACTTATTGAGAGGCGAGTTCGTTGAAGATTTTCTTTTGACGTTCGTTATCGGTCATTTGGAAGCACTACACTGAAGTATTTATTGGTGAGATATTTGCCGAAATGTTAGAAAGAGTATGCTAAAATTGGACTAAGCGGATGGACAATTTAAGGTGCAGTCACGGTAAACATTTGCTTGAAATATTCTTCAAAAATTAAATTATATGCACCGTACTATCGATTCAAATAAATATTTCATGAATTTTATTTTTTTTTTTTTAAACTTTCATATAGCTCCTAAAAAATCACCTTTTAGTATATCATACATACTTGTATTTATATACCTGAAGACTTTGCAACGAACATGATTTTTCTAAGGTTCTTTTAAAGTTGTGAAGATGTTGCATCAAAAATGTCTTATTTATGTAATTGAAGTGTAGAAAACTTACCGCTAGAAAGAGACATGGAATTTTTATCGCTAATTCGCTTCCTAATTGCTGATATGTTAGCAGTACTCAGCACGGGCGAGGTTATAGTAACTGGTATTGCAAGGGTGCTGTTCATATCCATTGCCATGTTCAAATTAGTTACGCCTTGAAAGTTAGCTACTTGTGGTACTGACATTTGCATCCCTAACATCCCTGGCCCCACAGTTGGTGGGCTTGAGCTGGTTGATATATTACTGTGAGGCGATGCCAATGGCTCCTTAAAAGAGAAATTATTAATTATACTTCTCAGAAGTTTTTTTATAGCACTTAATAGTAAGGTTTGCTCTTTGCACATTTATTTACCTCCGAATCTACTTTTTCTGACTCGATAAACTGCTTTGTTAAATATAGATGATGCATCATAGCCTGTAATCGGTCGCGTTCTTTCTGTAAATGGATTTCCAGTTGAGATACGACTTGCATTTGTACCCGTGCTTGGGCTGTAGACCGATCATCCAAGTTGTGTTCAGTATTTAGATGTCTGCCAGGTGAAAGAAATTCAACGTAAGCAATCGGAATCAGCAGTAGTAGTAAAGAACGCCTAATTTAAGAGCAAGTTAACGATTATGGAATTTTTGTTGAATAATTCAATGAATATGTTGATATGTGTTTAATTATCATGAAACATATTTTTTAGTTAGTATTCATTTATAATATTCGTATGCATTTCTACATACATGTGAGCTCAAATAACTTTAGTACAAATGCGATCTCTGTTAAGGGGAACATCTAGTGTTATGGCCTAAAAAAAAGGTGATTTTTGGGAATTTTTATTAAAAAAAATACATAATCAATTATTTCAAAATTTTAAGAATATATATATACATGTTTCAAGAATATACACTGAAGAAAAAAGTTAAATATTTTTAAAGTTATAGTCGATCTCCAACGGCGCAAAAAAATCACTGCAGCAGTGATTCGGGCTTTCTCCGTCGATAAAATCTAAAAAAAAGTTCTAATAAGATAATATTGTCTGTACAATGACCTACGATAAAAAAAAAACAAAAATTGACAAAATGGCGGCGTTTTAAAAAAAAATAGTCGAATTTCACCAAAAATTTTGGTCGTTTTTGGCCTGCCAAAATTCGATTTTTTGATCAGATCAAAAATCGATTGGTCATTGTACGGAGAACTATATATGGAACTTGTAAAAAAAAAATTCGATAGTGATCGGATCATTTGTTTTTGAGTAATCACTGCAGCAAACTTGGAAAGAGCTGTTTCGAGAAAAACCCGTTCAAAGATAAAATTATCGTTTTCAATCCTAGCTAACGAGACTCTCTAGATGCCGAGCGGCTGCTCTTTAAATTTGCTATAACTCAAAATCTATTTGAGATATCGATTTGAAATTTTAATATGTTATTTTTAAAGCTATAATCTAATGAAATATGATTTTTTTGAAATTTCACTCTAGGTGTGTCCCTTAAAGAAGTTACAAAAAATTGTGTTCAGCGAAGAAACTCATTTTTAGCTTAATGGGTTCGTAAATAAGCAGAAATGTCGATTTTGGAATGACTATATTTTGTGGAGCTATGTTAAGTATAATGTCTATACAGACAAGCGCGGTTCAATTGACGCAATGGAGGACAACATTGAAACATTTATTCGAGTATGCCAAAATTGGACTAAGCGGGTGGACCATTTGAGGCGCAGTTACGATCAACATTTGCATGAAATAATTTTCAAACATTAAATTATATGGACCGTACTATCGATTCAAATAAAAATTTCATGAATTTGTCTGAATTTTATGTTTTCTTTTGCCTAGAGCTCTTAAGAAATCACCATTTATAATGCGTTGAAATTTTGAGAACTAAGCAATGTCATAAACTTAAACACACATAAGTTGCAAATATTTTCATATACACAAACATATATACATATACCTAAATCATCATTAATAGGCAAGATAAGAAATGTGTCTTATTCGTATCATACACAAACAGCTTAAAATATATGCCACTTGTAAGTGTGTTAAATGCACACAAATCAATAATATTGAATATTAGATCAGATAAAGACCAATCAGTTGTTCTATATAATGAAATGTATTTTAAGGCAAACATACGTGTAATTATATACACACAAACATACACGTACTTAACTAGCTTGGGAAAATTCTTTTAAAAATTGTATATAAGAACCTTGATATTTTCAAATAAATTAGATTCTTACAAAATCTCAACCAAGTAGCTTGCTTCCCCCGTAAGTAGTAAGGGTCAATTACTTAGATCTTAATACAATTTGGTCCATACGAGCCTTAAAAGAGCTCAGCACAGGTAAGGTAAGCCTCTATAGAAGAAGAGCATTACCAAGAAAAATTTATTTATGTAAGTCAAGACAGCAAGTCAGCTCGCATTAACAAGCATTAACAAATACAAATAAGCCGTATTAGCGAAAAAACTATAAACAAGAAAATAATATAAATTGTTATCCAAAAGAAAAACACCGGGGGCTGTGAGTCCAGGCACGGGAAGGTCAACGAGGCGACCGAATCAATTTTCTCCAACGGTTCTTTTGGAGAAGAAAACAATATTATATAGTAATATATTTAATTGAAAAAGAATGGCTACTAAGCACAAAATTATTAGAAGAGCACATGGATAATGAAACTGGAAGACCGAAAAACTCGTGCAACAGAAGAGGCGATGGAAACTATTGCCGATATAAGAAAAAATTTAGATCAAACCATCACCAATTACTAAAGCTGTGTGGAGAATGAGTTTACATCAAATTATCATGATGTCTGGATAGGCAAAATTGCTGAAAGCCTTGAAAAATATAACACAGAATGCGAAGAAGTAGCAGAATCTAGCACGTCAAAGGAAGAATATTATATGATGTATTTAATATATAAAAAAGGAACTTAAAGATCAAATAAGTAGATTAGCGAAATATGCTTCAAAGAAGAAATCAAAAAGGAAATATCAGAAATATTTCTGCAAACCTTAGAATAATAATATAATTCACTTGAGCAAAAATATGAAGAATATTCATCCCCAAGCAAAGACATGCAACACATAATGGATGAATGTGAGTACGAAATGCATTACATAAGAATGGTAGTTTCAGAACATAACAATAAAAAAAATCGCAGAATCCAAGTACTACTCATAACTTGAAAGTAGAGAATATCAATATTTCGCTATTTTATGGAGATTTGTCGCAATGGCCTATATTTAAAGACGTATTTAATAGTCTATACACAAAAGTTCGCAATTTTCTAGCGTCGAAAAAATGTATCGACAAAAGACATACTGAGTGTTTTTAGCAAGAATAATAGTAAGAAAGCTTGATAAAGAAGGACAAAGCTTATATGAGTAAAGCGTAAAGAAAGCAAGAAAAATTCAAACTCTTGAAGATGTGTTCAATTTTTATGAACATCAATATCTTGCTTTATCAGCAGTTTCTAGTGAAACTTTAACCGGAAAAATGGTTCAAAAAAGTTTTACATATAACTATGTCAATGGCATGAAAAATATAAAACAAGCATCCTGTATGTATTCAAAACCTTAACAATGAGAATATGTAAACCTTCATTGCTTCATTTGCATGGAGCATTATTATTTATCAAAGAAAAACATTACTGGCGAACATATATTACTTCGAGCTCTTTTTGATCAAGGGTCACAAAAAACAATGGTTTATGAAAAGACTAGTCAGTTAGTTAATGAAAAATTACACAACGCCTCAAATGAGATACCCCTTTCTGTTGACGACCCGCGCAAACGAATTCAGGATCACGATTCGAGGGCATGCACCAGATATGTCCGGTCTCTATATTGGGAAGGTCCCGCTGCAAAGCTGGTTGATATCCTCAACAGAGTAAGGGCTGTCTCCTGATCGAAAAACCCAAAATCAGATCAGTCATGTTGTGATAGACGGAATTACATTCCGAGGACCCAACATCGACTCCGACCATTATCTAGTTACAGCGAAGGTACGCATGCGCCTTTGTATACCTAAGAAAGCCCGTCAACAAACACAAGGAAAATTCGACGTTGAAAAGCTGCAATCACAACAGACTGCCGAACGATTTTCTACTCGACTTGCACCCCTACTCTCTGAGAGCACTCATCACCAACTCGGTAAACGGGACTTATGGGACGGCATCGCAAACTCTCTACATAAAGCCTTAAACGAAACTATTGGAATTCGTAAAGGTAGCAAAGATAGCTGGTGCGATGAGGACTGCCATGTCGTAGTGGAGAGAAAACAGACTGCCTACCTCGCAACCTTGCGATCGACCACAACACGTGCGGGCTGTGTCAGTTACCGAGAGCTGAAGAGGGAAACAAGACGCATCTGCAGACAAAAAAATAAAGAGGCCAAGATGCGTGAGTATCAAGAGATTATGAAGCTGGCCGAGGAGGGTAATGCTCGAAAATACTATGAGAGATACGACGACTTACAGAAGGTTTCAATACCGGAGGAGCCTCTTGTAGGACACAAAAAGGGTGATCTAGCCACTGAGTATATTGAATTAATGTAGGGAGTATATTGCTTTTATGTAGTGAACACTTCTCCAACTTGCACAAGAGTAGTGAAAATGGAAAATTCGAACAAGAAACCCTAATGGATGACGATGGAAAAGACGTTCCGTTACCTGACCATAAGGAAGTTCGAATAGCAATCGCCCGCTTAAAAGACAACAAGGCGGCGGGAGCTGACGGCTTACCGGCAGAATTGTTCAAACATGGCGGTGAAGAGCTGACAAGGTGCATGCATCAGCTACTTTGCAGAATAACACGGAAACATGCCCCTCAATTGGAATTTAAGTGTGCTCTGCCCAATCCATAAAAAAGGGAACCCCATAGTCTGTGCCAATTACCATGAAATAAACCTCCTTAATATCGCCTATAAAGTCCTGTCTAGCGTATTGTGGGAAAGACTGACTGAACTTGATTGAACCTTATCAGTGTGGCCTCAGATCTGGTAAGTAAACCATTGATCATATATTCACCTTGCGAATATTCTTGGAAAGGACTAGCGAAAAGAGGATCGACACCCAGCACCTCTTCGTCGATTTTAAAGCCGCCAGCGAAAGCACGAAAGGTAGCTGCCTTTACGCCGCAATGTCTGAATTTGGAATCCCCGCAAAACTTATACGCCTGTGTAAGCTGACGCTAGACAACACCAGAATCACAAACCGAATTGCGAATGACCTCTCCGCGCCGTTTGGTACCAAACAAAGTTTCGCATAGGGAGACTTTTTGTCATGTGATTTCTTCAAATAGATACTGGAGAGAATAATAAGAGCCGCAGAGCTGAATAGAGAAGATAAAATCTTCTATAAGAGTGTACAACGCCTGGCGCCGTTAATTCTGCTTTGTCCCTGCTTGACAAAGAAGTGAAGCGAATGGGTTTGTTGAAAGTCATAACTTTGAATTCGTAGATAACTTCGTATATCTGGGAACCAGCAT